TTCAATAAGAAGAATCCCCAGCTCTCCCTTCTTTGGTTGTACCATACTTGACAACTATAGTTGGAGCTATTTCTCACTTCTCTTCAATCTCTTCCTATAGCTGAAGGCCTCCTTAATGCTTACAAACATGCCCCTGGCTCCCTCATCCTCAAAAAACTTTTACTTGATCCATAAAGTCCCACTCACTATCATCCCATATCTCTCTTGCCTTTTGTGGCTAAACTGGTTCTGCTCACTTCACTTTGCATCAGTTTATTTAAGTCATCCCAGGTTTTTCTGAAACCATTCCCTTCATCATTTCATATAGCACAACAGTATCCTATCACCTGGGTTTCGTTGGCAATATATAAAATGCTGATGATTTGTGTGGGTTTATTTTATACCCTACAACTTTGCTGAAGTTTTTAATTGTTTCAACTAGTTTTTTCATTGACTCTCTAGGGTTCTCTAAGTAAACCATTATGTCATCTACAACAAGTGACAGTTTTGTTTCTTCTTTGCCTATGCTTATTCCTTCAATTTCTTTTTCTTGTCTATTGCCATAGCTAGCATTTCTGGTACAATACTGAATGGTAATGGTGATAACAGACATCCATGTTTTATCCCTGATCTTACTGGAATGTAATCTTCCTAAAGACCAGGTCCAACAATGTCAGAGTTATATTGACCTGACTCCATAACACCAGTGCCTCCCTATCACCTGCATGATCAAATATAAAATCCTGTTTGTTGTTTAAAGCTCTTATAATTTGTTCCTTCATGTTCCCGTCTTATTTGACCTTACTCTCCCACCATACTCGTCCATTTAGTCACTCTAGGCATTTTCACTGGCTGTTCCACATGACCAGAATCCTCTCCCTCCTCATCTTTTCATCCTGGCCTCCCTGGCTCCCTTCGAGTCCCAGCTAAAGTCTCACATTCTACAGGAAACCTCTTCCAATCCCTCTTAATTCCTGTGCCTTTCCTCTGTGGATTATTTTGAATTTATCTTGAATACAGTTTGTTTGGACTCGGTTATTTGCATGTGGTCTCCCCCACTAGATTGTGAGCTCCTCTAGAACAGGGGCTGTCTTTACCTTTCTCTGTATATCCAGCACTTAGCACAGTATAGGGGGCACTTAATAAATGTTTATTTGAATGGGGAGGGAGAAGCCAAATAAGTCACAACTCTCTCACTTAGCTCCTGGATAAGTAATTGGGGACACAACAATCTCCCCTAAGAGATTAAGTATACAACTTTCTATCGTGGAGGGAGAAATTCGCCTCGGTTTGAGGATAAAGCTTTCAATGAGTCCTGTGGACTGGATGGAGGGACTCTGGAATCTATGCTTTAAATGGAGACAGATGCACTCAGACGTAAAAATTACTTCTTCCTAGAAGAACTTCAATTAAGAATTTGGATTACACTTGGGGACTAAAATGAGGGGCAGACTCGGAAGCCCCTGACTAAGAGAATCTGATCTAGTTTCATTAGAAGTACTGAGCATGCCTTCAGCCTGACCTTCTATGCCTTCTCTAACTCACTGGTTTTTTCTTCACATTGGCGATGAAATAGCAGCAGCTTCCTCCTTTCCTCAGTCTTGAGAAGGGGAATGGAGCCATTGGCCCTTTCCCTTTTCTGTTTCTTCCTTCTCTTCTCCTCTCCTCTCCTCTTCTCTCCCTGTGTCTGTGTGTGTCTCTGTATGTGTGTTTGCCTCTCTCCATCTCCCCCTTCCCCCATCACCCCTACAGGAGCTGGAAAGTCCACATCTAAGCAGACCTTCCTGGAGACCATGTCAGAGGTCACTGCTAATCCATGGTCATCCTCTTTTCATGAATAATGGCCTGCATTATATTTTTAGAATTATTTCTAAAGATTATAAATGTACATATTCATCTTTTTGTTGTTGTTGTTCAGTCATTTTCAGTTGTGTCCAACTCTTTGTGACCCCATTTGGGGTTTTCTCGGCAAAGATACTGGAATGGTTTGCCATTTCCTTCTCCAGCTCATTTTACATATGAAGAACCTGAGGCAAACAGAATTAAGTGACTTGCCCAGGGTCATACAGCTAGCATATGTATGAGGCCAGATTTGAACTCAAGAATACGGCTCTTCCTGACTCCAGTCCTAGCACTCTGCCCCAGTCCAGTCCTATGATCTCACTGATAAAGAAACTCCCAGTGAGGAAACTCCCTTAACCAATACAGAGCCACAAATGTTCCATATCTTACACTTTAAGGATTTTCCTAAGGCACTTAAAAGTTGTGACTTGCCCAGGACCACACAGCTAGTAGGTGTCAAAAACTGAAATTTTCCTCGATAATAAAAATGTGGATAATAATAGCACCTACTTCATAAGGTTATTCTGAGGATGAAATGAAATAACTGTAAAGTGCTTTAGCACAGTGCCTGACACATAGTAAGCACTAGATAGATTTTAGCTTTTATCATTATTATATGAACCCACTTCTTCCTGACTCCAAGAATAGCTTTTTATTTACTAAACCAGTAGTTCCCATTTAGTGGTTTGTGAACTCCTTGGGAGTTTACTAAGACAATCCAAGGGGTTCATACTAAAAATGCATCTTAAGCAGTAAATAATTGCCCAATTGTGTCACAAATCTATTATTTTAAGCATTATAGGTCTGTCTTTGCAGAGGTTCAAAACTGTTGTGATCTTGTGCACAATTATTTTGGCATCCATGCAGAGAAAGGTGCACATTGCACCCTCATCCCCCTTTTGTTACCCCATAATCATATTTCATCAGCTGTGTAATCACATGATTAAGACTGTAACAAGTATCTGCATTCTTGTAGCACAAATATCAGGCTGTCTGAAAACTATAGTCCCCAGGCATTTGTGTCACAAGCCATCCTGAGATGACTGCACACCACCACAAACATTCTGCAGAAACAAATCTGAGATGACCTCTCTCTGAAGTATTAAGACTGCTTTCCAATTGACACTTATCCTCCACTTACATGACTATTCTTTAATCTGGTAGATTTTTAAATGAACTGGTTGGCAACCCAGGTAAGACATTCAGTGGAGTTACTGTGAGGGTATAGCCAGCAGCAGAAGAAAAGAAAGTCCAGTCTGAAGACATTCTTTCCTTACAAAGCTTAGTTTCTATATAAACATTGTTGAAAATGAAGCAATATGTACAAATGAACTTTAAGTAAATTTGCCATTTTATATAGCACTTCTTGCTGGCCAGTAAGAAAGTAAGTATTTTATACTAGCCATTCATGTTTACTGACTAGTTAGGTGACTAAAAATAAAAACGGATTTCCATCTTTCATCAAGAGAGCTTATAAAATTCTCCTACCATTTTTCACCACACACTTGCATAAGCAAGTGTTTTCACTTTATTCTTGTCCAAAATCAAAGTACAGAAATAAACTTGAGGTGAAACCAAATTTAAGAACATGTCTGCCCAGTATTGAGCCTAATATTACAAACCTTTGTTCAAATAAAAAGTCCAACATCAAAATTAAGTTTATATATGATTATTAAAACATCTTCCAAGAGGTAATTTATGTCATTTAAAATGTTATTTATATTCTACAATATTTACAAAAATAAAGAAATTTAATATAAAATCTTGCAGTTAATAGTAAGCATGAGGTCTTGATGGATTACTTTTAATTCTTACAGAATGTCCCATATAAAATATTTGTAACAATTTATAATTAGAGCTTTATAATTTTATAGTTAGAGCTTTCATGATTATAGGCAGAATAAAATTTTATAATAATAATTATATCATGTAACTTTTATTTTGGAGCTTTTGAGGCAAGTTATCATCATCGTTACAGTAAGCACTTAGTGAAGAAATCTGAAAAAATTTTATGAGTGGTACATAAAATTACCCTGAGGATCCATAACACATTTTTTTGGTTGAAAAAGATTTGAGGAACAAAAAACACTGGAAATCACTGCACTACTCCATACTGCCTCTCATTTTCATAATACATAAACCATTTTAATGGATTCATAAATTTATTACTAATGGTTTCCTTAAGATATCTTGTTCCCCAACAAATCTGGGATACAACAGGTAATATCTGGAAGAAATTCCAGGTTACCCCCTATTCTAACAGTGTTAACAAAGGTGTTACAATACCATCCAGCCTAGTATAATAAACAAAACAGTATACAAGTATACAGATTAACAGCAACTCCAAAATCTTATCTAAAGAGAACAAAAAAAAATCTGATAATTATAACAGACACATTCTACAGATGGCTCAAAGTTATACTAATCAGTTGAGTCAATCAGAAAAATACTTCCTTACTCTAGATAATTTTATATTCTGTTTGAGTTCCTAGCCACCAAAAAGAAATAAGTAAGTAGTAAGAAAATTAAAATCCAAGTTTGCTTAAGGCTATGGGTAGGAGCAAGTCTACAGTAACAAAGAACAAGACCCAGAAAAAAAGTAGACGGTACATAAACAGAAAGAACCTCTTGTTCCTCAAGAAGATGGTCTCTGCTAATGGAGAAATATACACAGCAGTTACATATAACTCTCTACTGTATAGGACAGGTTACTGCAGCATTATTGTTATTACTGCACACAACTACAACAAAGAATAGGCTATTGTAAACTGAATTCAGGCCTCTGCTCTGGCACTCAGAGGAAGACAAATAGCAGCCTTAATTACTTTATTTCTGGCCAGTTCCTCTTGGGCTTACAAGCCAAGTTGATAAGGATCACTCCCTAAATTCTTTTACCAATCCCTACAGTGAGGTTAATCTTTATTAAGGTTCTAAAGGTTTTCCAAAATTAGGTCCATCTCATTCCTTGTGAAAAGAAAAAGAAAAAACATCCCACAAACAGCAGACTGACTTATATTACCACATCCTGAAGGATATTTTCCCAAGCTTTAGTTATACACTGTAACAACTAATTGTACACAGATCTCGGGATATGGCTTATAGGACTCTCATGTTTACTACATTGTTGTAATTAAAATTTTTTAAAACTGTTAGGATACACCAAAAATAGCTATTTTTACCTTGATTTGAGGAGTGGCTGAGTCACCCACTTCTTCAATTTTCGTCGCCCAAAAGGAGTTTTAGTGTGATCTAAGACCCATAGCAAACTGCCTCTGAATTTTGAATCCGTCTAAGGAGAACAAACAAATAATTAAAAAAAATTAAACAAACACTTGCTTATTTCTCTAAACTAGCCATTTATTTAATATAAAACACATGACTACTTAGGCATCCCTGAATTTTACTTCTTTTTTTCATATACAGCAAATCCATGACCTTCCTTTTCAAGGAAAGGGATGTTCTGGTTAAATGGATTTCTTTTTAACTAAAGACTAATCAGAAAATTCTCTTTTATTCAATCCTTGTATAAAATTCTTCTAATATAGATAGGTACTTGCCTGCCTTAGGGAATACAGAACATTGAATATAATTAAATCTTTTTTCTGACTATTCAAGGTCTTACAATGCCTCAGGATTATTCTTAAGAAATCTACTGATTACTGGATAGTACTATAGGTAGAGGAGATAAAAGGAATTAAGCTGAATGCATACTGAATGCCTGGAGATGCTTGGGAGCTGGATGTTGGGTATGTTTGGATATGGGGGTGGGGTGGGGGGTGTAAGGTGAGGCAGGAAGTATTCCTTGTTTTCAACTAATTCTCCAGTAAGAACTTATTTACCTACAATCTGCCTCTCTCCCACAAGTAAAAGTAAAAGGCAGAAAACATTTCTTTAAAATATTAAGGCTTTTCCAAGGGCTCATTTTTTAAAAGCTGTCTCTTTCTGCAAATCAATCAGTAAGAATTTACTATGCATGTGCCCAGGAAGAGTACAAAGACTTCCATAACAGGGGTTAAGGAGTTTACACCCTGCACAAATATAAAACAATTAGCTAACAATACAGGAAAGAATCTAATTAAATGCTAACTTATGTACTAATTACTAGAGAAGTAAAAAACAAATTTTATTTGTTTATATAAGCGATTAAAACTAGCTAAAGTAGTCAGTCAGTCAGTCAGTAAACAAGCATTACCATGTGCTAGCCACTATACTGGGGCTACAAAGAAAAGTAAAAACACAGTCTCTGCCCTCAAGGAGCTCATATTCTAATGGGACAAACAACATGCTAACAATTAAATACATACCAGATATACACTGGGTATTCTCAGAGGGAAGGCATTAGCAGTGAGAGGGCCATCAGGAAAGGCCTCCTATAGAAGGTGGGATTTAAGCTGAGTCTTGAAGGGAGCCAGGAAAGCCAAGGAGAGGTAAGAAGGGAGAGCACTGTATGCATAGGGAACAGCCAGAAAAAGGCACAGAGTCAGGAGTAGCAGTGTCATGTGTAAGGAATGGCAAGACGTCCAGTGTCACTGGATTATAGAGTACGTGTGGGACGAAGATTGGGAAGGTAGGAAGAGGACAGGTTGTAAAGTACTTTAAAAGTCAAACAGGAATTATACCTGATCCTGAAGATAAGAGAAAATTCCTGGAGTTTACTAAAGAGAAGAGTGATACCGTCAGACCTATTCTTAGGGAAGATCACTTCTGGCAGCAAAGTGCAGGATGGATTGGAGTGCAGAGACATCTGAGGCAGGGAGGCCAATCAGGAGGCTATTGCAATGGACCAGGAAATAGGTAACTGAGATGCAGACCATGGTGGTGGCTACGTGAGTGTCAAGAAATGGCCATGAAAGAGATGTTATAAAGATAAAAACTTCAGTATGTAACAACAGATTGGATATGGAAGGGGGGAAGAGAATGAGGGGTCGAGAATGTGAATAGGAACATCATGGTGCTCTTGAAAGAAATAAGTAAAATTAAGGGATGAGAGAGGATTATACTGGGAAGAGAAAAGGAGAGGTAGAATGGGGTAAATTATCTCACATAAAACAAGAAAAGGCTTTTACAGTGAAGGGGAAATGGGGGGAAGGTAAGAGGGAATGAGTGAATCTTATTCTCATTGGATTTGGCTTAATGACAGAATAACATACACACTCAATTGGGTATGGAAATCTATCTTACCCTACAGAAAATAAGGTGGGAAGAAGACAAGAGAGCAGGGGGTTGATAGAGGGGAGGGCAGATTGGGGGAGGAGGTAATCAGAAGCAAACACTTCTAGAGAGGGACAGGGTCAAAAGACAGAACAGAATAAATGGGGCGGCGGGATAGGATGAAGGGAAATATACTTAGTTTTTCACAACAAAAAGAAAAAGAAATAAAGAAACAGGGAAATTGGGAAGTAGGGCCAGTTTGGGAGAAAGATAATGAGTTCAGTTCTGGACATGTTGAGTTTAATATGTCTATGAGATACCCAGGTATAAATGTCCAATAGAAAGTTGGTGATGAGAGACTGGAGGTACCAGAGAAAGGTTAGGTCTGGATAAGCAGATCTAAGACTCATCAGCAGAGATGATAAAGGAGCTGATGAGACCACCAAGAGACACAGAAGAAGAGAAAAGGGCCAAGGCTAGACCTTTGGGGGACATACACAGTTAGCTGTCATCACATGGTTGAAGATCAAGCAAAGAAATTTGAGAAGAAGCAGTTAAAGAGGTAGAAAGAGACCCAGGAAAAAGCAGTTCCTAAAAAATCTAGAGTGGAAAGAGTACCAGGAGAAGAAAGTGACTGATGGTTTCAAAGGCTGCAGAAAAGTGAAGAAGGGGTGCAGAAGTTGAATAAAAAGAAGAGAAATGAAAGTATTTCAAATGAAATGAACACAAAAATATGAGCTAAAGAAGATCTGCATCAGGGAGTAAAGAAATTAAGCGGTGAATAGGTAGGCTAGGCTGGTGTACAAAGGATACAAAGTCAAATGGATGGCCATAGCACTGGATTCAAGAACTGGAAGAGACTTTACAAGCCATCAATTCCAATGTTCTCATGTTACAGATGAGGAAGCTAAGGCACAGACAAATTAAGTAACTTGGCCAGCATTGGTGAGGCCAGATTTGAGCTCAGATTTTCCTGTCTCTAAGTTTAGCATCTTCACCACTATAAGGCAGTGGATAGAGCACTGGGCCTAGAGTCAGGAAGACCTAAGTTCAAATCAGGCCTCAGACACTTAATATCTGACCTGGACAAATTATTTAATCTATGTCTCCTTCAGTTTCCTCAACTGTAAAATGGGGATAATAATAGTACCTTCCTCCCAGAATTATTATTAGGAATGAAAAAAAGTTAATATTCATAAAGTGCTTAGCACAGTGCCTGGCACATAGGAGGGACTAAATAAATATTTTCTTCTCTCCTTGCTTTCTTCCTCTATGGCAGGTGGTAGAGAAAAGAGAACTATTGTATGATTTTAAGTAAAGGACTAAATTGATCAAAGAGTTTTCTAAGATTCATCTGGTAACAATATACAAGAAAAACTAAAAGAACTAAAAGAGATGGACATAAGTCAGTTATGTGCTGACCACATTCCTCCTCCAGGCTGTATGCCTGACTTCCTCTATCATGCCTGGGTCCCTCGGTCTCTCCTTCTCTACCCCCACCCCCTTTTCTGCTTTTCAATTTTCTTTTGTGTGTGGTATTCCTCCACTAGAATGTAAGTTTCTTGAGGACAAGAAGGGTCTTTCTTTCTTCTTGTGTTCCCAGTGCTTAGCTCAGTGACTGATATACAGTATGCAACTTAATGACTGACTGACTAAGTGCAAAATCTACCTTAATGTATTATGAAAAGCAGCCAGGCATAGCAAATAGAGAATCAGCTTCAAAGTCAGTAAGAGTGGGGTTCAAGTCCTATCTCTGACATACACCAACTGTGTGACCAAAATCACTTAACTTCTCAGTGACTAGGGTAACCTCCTAAGGCTGTAAGTTGTAGAGAAGGTGTCAACTTAAATTAGTGGAAGGAGTTCCCTACACCAGTAAAATCGTAGGTCTAATCCCTATCATTGTTGTTACCAGCAATATCCCTGGAGATCTTTAAAAATGTGAAAGATATGGGACAGTTTAAGTATTCAATTGTTTCATCAGACAATCCTGAAGTCCCTTTGGCCTTATAACTTTATGATTTTACATTGTCTTCAAAATACAATACTTCACTTGCAAGCTTAAGTTTAGCAAATGGAAGAAATATTTAAAGTCTCCATTACTTTAAAAATATTGTCAATTAATTAGTACAAAAATGAAATATTATATTGTCTATAGTGTTAAATTTTGTGTCGTGTTTGTTTTATCTGAGAGAAAATTTGCATGAATTTCACAAGGTTCTTGGTGTAACCATAAGAAAAATTTTAAAGGAGTCCAGGAAGAAATTAACTATAAAACAGCTTTCATTATAATTCTTAAAAATAATATCTTGCTAAAAAAACTTTATTAGTGTCTGACTCTCAATGTGTTACTTTAAAGTTAATATCCTGAAAACTGCTGCTTCCAAGTAACGATCAGATAAGAAAGAGAATCGTCAGCTGGGACACAAAGGATTAATCTTCTGTTTCAAATGCATTCACTAGCACTATCTATGATTCTTCTTCCCTCCAACAAAAATTTGTAATCAGCTAGTTATATTTTCCTAACCTGATTCTGTAAGATTTCCAGACTCTTCAGTGCTGTTCCATTAATTGTCATAAATTCCATTTCACTTGACAGCTTTTTAAGATTTCTGAAAAGAAATTAGAGGAAATGTAATCATGCAAACTATAAGAGCAGAAAGAAATAAAAATTAATTTAGACACCAGGTAAAAATTCCAATAGCATGACTAATGAAAGTTAGCCGTTTGGTAGAATAATCAAGTCAAACTTAAAAGAATAAAAGGAAAATTCATTGAGAAGTATTCTTCCATTGATGTATCTGCTGCTAAATGCCTTGATGGGAGAAAAGGGAAAATAGAAATTAAGCAAAACAAAACAAAACAAAAAACAAGGGCAACACTTACAATAAGGGAATACAGATATACCCCTTTTTCTTATTTTTAAGAATAGTACATAACATAATCTTATTTTTAAGAATAGTACATAACATAATAGTATATAACATAAGCATACAATGGTAAGCATTGAGGACAAGTTATAAAATTACCTAGGAAAAGAATATTCAGATAGTTCAAATTGTTCTCCTTATTCTTCCAACATGTGATCATTTTGATAAGGCTTGGTTTTTAGCCCTAATTAAGGATTATGATATAGCCAAGAGGTTTACTAATGAGTATGGTGATGATGATGATGATGATATAACTAGCATTTGCATATTACTTAAAGGTTTGTAAAACATTCTCATTTGATCCTCACAACCACCCTATGAAGCAGCAACTATTAAGCCTCCCATTTAATAGATAAGGAAACTGATTTTTGAAGAGGATAAGTGATGTGCCTAGCATCACACAGCTAGTAAGAGACTGAGACAGGCTTTGAATTCAGGACTTCCTGACTCTGAATTTAGCACTCTATCCACTGGGCCACCTAGATGCATAGTGTTTCTTCTTTTTTTTTTTTTTGCATTGTAATTGACAACCACCACCAAAATGGTCAAAATTTAGTGGGTTAAATAAAAATATACTCAAAAAACCTACAAATAATAAAAATATCTACCATTTACATAGCACCGTAACGTTTGCAAAATGTTTTTATTACATACATTATATCATTTGAACCTCACAACAAATTTGTATTATTATTATACTCATTTTATAAATGAGGAAATTAAGCTTTAGAGATGGTTACATAATCTGCCTATAGTCATTTGGCTACTAGGCAAAATTTGAATTCAAATCTTCCAAGTCATACATTCGATGTACTAAACCAGGAAATGTGATATATATACCAAAGTTTTACCTTTCAAAAGACCTCAGAATTTAGTATGACAAAACAATTTGCAGCATAATCAATCAAGCAATCCCTGATTAAGTGTCTTCTATATTCTATGCCAGAGCTTACGTTCAATCAGGGGGAACAGTTAGTCAATATGTATTAATTAAGTGTCCAGTGCTCTCAGGGGACTCAGAGCTTAATGGTGGAAACATGAAAACAGCTACACACAAATGAAATATACAAGATAAATTGGAAATAATCAACAGAAGGAAAATACTAGCATTGAGGAAGACCAGAATTTATAGAAGCTAGAATTTTAGCTGGGACATAAAGTAAGCCAGGGAAGTAGAGATGAGGAGGGAGAGTATTCTAGGGAAGGGAGAACTGCCAGTGAAAATGCCCACCATCTGGAAATGTGGTGTTTTGGTGAGGAAAAGCAAGGAGAACAGTGTTTCTAGATCATACGGTATGTGCGAGAGTGTAAGGTATCAGAAGACTGGAAAGGCAGGAAGCAGCCAGACTATGAGGGGCTTTGTGTGCCAAGCAGAGGATTTTATATTTGATCACAGAGGTGATAGAGTTCAAAAAGGAGTTTTTTTGAATGGAGGAAGATATGGTCAGATCTGCTCTTTAGGAGGATTATTTTGACAGCTGAGAGGAGGAAAAACTGGAGAAGAGAGAGACTTGAAGAAAAGATTAACCAGCAGGCTACAAGCATGTGTTGATAAGCTCCTGCACCATGGTGGCAGTAATGTCAGAGGAGAGAAGAGAGCATACACAAGAAATGTTATGAAGGTAAAATCAACAAGACAGCAGCAGATTGGATGTGGGGAGTAAGAAAGAATGAGAGGCTGAGGATAACACCTTGGCTGCAAGTCTAGGTGACTAGAAGGATAATGGTGCTCTTGAGAGCAATAGGGAAGTTTGGAAAGGGAAAAGGTTTGGGGGAAAGAGAAATTCAATTTTGATATACAGCATGTAAGATGTCTATGGGACATCCAATCTGAGATGCCTATCAAGCAATTAGAGATGTGAGTCTAGAGATTAGAGGAGAAGTTAGGACTGGATAAGTAGATCGAAAAATCATTAGCCTAAAGATTGAAAGGAAGTAGAAGAAGATGAGACTATCAAGTAAAATAGTACAAAGGGAAGAAAAGAAGCAGCACAATAGAGTTCTAGGGGCAACAGCATGTATATACAGCAGGTGTAGGGATGGTATCATTATATGTAGTCTAAGTGAGGATGGCCTCATGGCACACTACACTAATAACCCCCACTCCTCAGACTACTACTTGACTCATTACTTTATTAATTCTTATCCTGTGTGCTCTGGCAATCAAGGGGCATATACTAATATTTCCTCACAAATGAACAGAAATGCACAATCTTTCTTATTAATCAATGAACTTAGCCCTACTTTAGCTTATAGAATAAACTAAATAAAATTTTTCTCATAGGTTTTCTTTCCTCTTTCTCAAATCCTCTAGTATTGAAGTTTTAAATGAACATCAATACTACTGACTATACAATTTACTAACAGTGTAACAAAAAAGACAAAGATATATTTAGATTGTTTAAAAATGTATCAGAATGAGAAAGTGCATGAACACTTGTAACTATCAATTGCAACCGTTAACTTCTCAACTCTGGAAAAAAACAGTCCTACCATTTTGGTCTTTTATGATAGGTCAAAGATGCTTGAGAATTCTGTTTGGGCTACCTTTTCCACAGCACAAGAATTAAAATCAGTTCCCAAGAAATGTATCTTCCAGTTCTTTCACCTTGACAGTTAACTCAATCAGTCTTTTAGGAAAGACATTTTTCTAGTCTTTTATTACCAAAGAATCTCTCTCCAGTCAAAATCGTTAATTATCCAGAGGACGTTTAAAATTCCCTCTCTACCAAGATTCCATTCCCTATTAAAAGTAGAGGAACAGTAACCACAGCATCTTTGGGAAGGGCTATTGAAGCCAAGGGCTGCACAGACATATAAATTCATACTAAATAAATGGATGAATAGATAGATAAATAAAGAGGTGATTTTTTTTTCTAGAGAAGCACTAGCAGGTAGTAAGAATCCAGAAAGATTTCATGCAGAAACTGGTGCTTAAGTCACACTTATAAACAGGTATTATTAATCACTGTTTTTCTTTGCCTATATTGAGTTATCTGCATCTCAAATTGGTTTCCACAGAAACCATACAACTTTCTCAGTAAACAAGTGTTAACAGTTATTGATATTAATAATTCCAGCAAAAACAGAGCCTGTAAAGATAATCTGACATAAGATGTAGTATTAAACAATCATTATCAAGACAATAAGAAAGCTAACACTTTCTCCTCCTACTGGACACAGCTGATACAGTATTTAGCAATTTGCAGTCCTCCTTTCCAATACAAAGGCATTCCTTTATGCCAGCACCTGGTAACATTGGGAACTATAAACTTTTCCCTCACTAAATGCTGTATCTCACAACATGCTCACTGACACATCACTATATGCTCACTGACCTGAAATAATCAAGTAACAAAATTATCTACCTACACAGAGGAAGACAAATTTTAGGTGCTTCAAAATGAACGACATAAATAATGGATAACTATACTACAATCTTCTTTGTGAAATTTTTTGTGGGTAGAAATCTTAAAAGGAGACTTTTATAATATTTAACTGATATTTTAAACAATTAAAAAAGCCTAGAATTTCTTCACTGTCTGGGATAGAAAAAAGGACTCTAGGATGCAAGATTAAGAGTAAATCCTCTTACTGAATCTCATCAAAGAATTGGAGTTTTGTAAAAAAGAAATTTATTGTTATTATATTTATGTTGATAAATATAAATATATTATTACTTTATTATGCTTATATGAATAAAAAGAAAATATCTGCTAATATTACAATTCCAAAAGATATATCAATCACAATTCCTCTGAACATTCAGACAAAAAAAGGACATTAAAAATTCCCATCATAACTCCCTCATCCATTAGTTAAATGAACATAAAGTTCATTTTTAGGATGTTTTTCTTTAGAATGTTAAGCAAAAAAATTAATATCTAAAAACAAAATGTTCCCTTAGAATTATCCCCACAGATTATACATTTTTTACTACCTTTTCCTACTGCTTAATTTTTTACATGCATGCAAGTCAATAACATAGTAAGAAGTTTCAGAAAAGGAGTATTATCTATTCTACATACTATTTATGGTTATTCTGTAAATAAAATTGTTCTCTTAGAGTAAAAAAATCCAGTCTAATGTCAATTCATTCTGGAAAGCCTAAAAGGAATATATCTACGACTTGGATTTTCAAAGAAGTTTTAAAATCTCATGTTTCTCTGCTTCTCTTTACCCTTTTAAATTACAGAATTAAGAGAGTAATCAAAAGAATCTTTGATTTCTCTTAATAGCTCTTTGTATAGTTGTATTGGTCTTTTGAAAGAGTTAACTGAGTTAGCACAGAGAGCTACCAAAAATAAATAAATTACTAAAAGACTCCATGGTTCACCAGTTCTGGAATTTGCCTCAAACAAATATGGTGGGCAAAGAGAGTTTTGCTATGATGCTGTGAAAGACTTCTTGTTTACATAACTGGCAAATGAATGAGTACTGGGCATAAGGGAGAAGAAGGAACCAAGGATCACACTGAGGTTGTAAACCCAGTTGACTGCAAGAATGGTGGCACCATTAACAAAATTAAAGCTATTTAGAAGGGTGGGTTTGGGGAAGAAAGAAAATGAGCTCTGTGTTCTGGACATACTGAGTTTGAGAGGCCTACAGGATATCCAACTGGAAATGTCCAGTAGGTAATGCAGATTAGAACTCAAGACAGAGACTAGGAATGGCCTGAATTAGGGAGATATGGGCATGTGTGTAGGCAGTAAGGAAGAAGCTAATAAATAGGAAGAGAATGAAGATTATATATATGGAGGGGAGTATAACTGTGGGGGTAATTTGTCAGAAGAAAAAAGAAGAAAAAGGGATAAAAAGACAAAAAAATGAATAAAACACAGTTTTAAAATAATAGTTCATGGCAAACTAAATACATTTTCTTTTTGGATGATACTGATTAGTCAGGAAAATGCTTCAGACATAGTAAACTTATATCTCAGCAATGCACTTAACAATAACTCATGGTATGTTTGTGGTAGATATGGACAAGATGATAATACACTTAGGTGGGCTAGAACTAGTTCAATGACTATTCTCAAAGAGTAGTTATTGATGGGCTGATGTCAAATGGAGGAAGATTTCTAATGGAATATCCAATGATTTGTCCTGGGCCCTGTGCTGTCTGTCAACCATGACTTAACCGAAGGTATGACTTGGAAGGAGGAAGAGATGACATCCTTGTCAAATTGTCTGATGACAAACAATTTTAAGGGTTAGCCTATAAAGCTGAACAACAGAGTCTAGATCCAAAAAGATTTAACAATGGCTAACTAAACAATGGGTCCAATCAAATAAGCTGAAGTTTAAACGGGAGAAATGCTACTTGGATTAAAAAAATCAACCTCATAAATTCAAGATGTAGAGATATGGCTAGACAATAGGTTCTGTGCAAAACATATAAGTGTTTTAGTGTACTGAAAAATCAATCTGAGTAACATGGAAGCCCCAAAAATCAATGTTGCCCTAGACTATATTAAGTACTATAGTATTCAGAATGAAGGAGAAAATAGTTCTGCTATACTCTATTTATAATCAAGCCATATCCAAAGTACCATGTTACTGTAGGGTACCATATTCTAGGAAAGACATAAATGACTGGATCACATTTAGAATATGGTAAGCAGAGCAAAGAAAGGACTGGAGAACATGCCATACACAAAGAACTAGGGAACGTTAATTATGAATAATTTTTAAAAAATGAAATATGATAGATGTTCTTAAGTATCTGAAGGAGTATCATGTAGAAAAGGTATTAGATTTATTCTGCTTGGTCTCAAAGGAAAGCAGAAGGAGGAAGCAGCAGAGGAGAAAATTTAGGTTTGCCATCAGGAAAAACTTTCTAACAAAGCCATCCAAAAAAGGAAATAGGGAGAAACTGAGTTCCCTCTCATTGGAGGCTGAAGCTGGATTATCACTATCTCTTTTACCACTAGCAAGAAAATCCATCCCTACTTTACTAGTCCAGCATCCCTAAGGCAGGGAAAAGCATCTCTGTCTCCTATACTCTAACACCATCTGCCCTCTAAACCTTCCTAAAACTACCTTAAGAAAGTTTCCTTCCCCTAATACAAGTATCCCACTTTTGGATCTATGCCCTTCCCTCAGAAGTCCTTCCCAGGTTGGAGAAGAAGTTAATCAAGTTAAAGTCTCAGGAAAGATTTCTAGGATCAAGGACAATAGAATATGATTAGTGATGGAGCCAGGGTAAGAGTTAGAAAGGGAGAAGAAACAACTACATGGCTTTTTTTTCTCTCTTTGCATAAGAATTATCAGATTTACTCTAATTATCTACTTTTAAACATTAGACTACATTCACATTTCCCAAGTTAATCCAAAAGAAAGGGAAATAAAGATTCCTGACTGGGGGAAAAATCTGCAAAATCAATCACTCATAAAAACCTGTCAAATTAACTGCTTAAAAGATCTTTACAATAAAAATCTGAAAGAATAATTAGTATAGAGAACATTCACAAGTAAATTTTTTAGTGTCTCTCGGTCATGTTATCCCCAGTTCTGTTTTCAATTAAATAGCATAACTGAAAAATCACTGGTATTTAGAGTCAAAAGACCCGGATTCAAAGCCCAACTCTGTTGTGTAACCCTGAGGCAATCATCTCACCTTTCAGGGCCTCAGTTTCCTTGTTAATTATATTAATAAGTTAATCTCTAAGATCCCTTTCAGCTCTAAATCCTTTCAATATAAAGTACAAAACACTGACTATGGCTTGCATGAACAAAGCCACTTATGTTTCTTAATATTTCCATTTGGGGCTAATGTGTTTATAACTATTTTAGCAAAACTAAAGAATTCTTGCAAATAGGTAACTTTAAAAAAAATAAGAAGTGAACCTTTAGTGGAACAGAAATTTCTAGATTTAATTTTAAAATAAAATCAGTAAACTTATCCCTCTTTTAAAAATAATTTTAGATTTAAAAAAAAACACTTACCTAGGATTGTAGAGCATTTTCTCTAAATTAAATTCTTTAAGGTATCGAATTACTGCTGCCAAAGAGCAAATCACAGGCTTATCTAAATTTAATATTGCAGAAAAACTCTGGGAAGCTAAGAAAAAACAAGATTATTTCTTTCCATTAAAAACTATCACCTGCCACAATTAAAACACATTTTATTAAATGTCATTTATTTTATAATTATTCAAGTAATGAACAATATTTAAATCTGCTAAGAAGCCTTTTACAAATCAGTAACAGCCACCTTGAAAAAGTTTCCTAGTAAGAGCAGCATGAACGATCCCAGATCCTTTTCAATCTAAATCTCAATTTATACTGGTATCAAAAATGATCAATCCCCTTTCCTGTAATGGGAAAAAGGAACCAAAGGTCATATGAAAATCAATATTGGATCCAGAAATTCATCTTAAGCCTTCTGAATCAAAATGAATGGTTTAACCACCAGAGTATGCTGCTACTCTATAGTTCAGTATGAAAAAGCTTAGTAATATCTGTTGCCTGCGTTATTATATAGACGCATATTTTGTGATGACCATACTATTAAAATTAGGTGCTAGTACTAAAAATTTCCAAAAATGACATGTTCCAGCTGAATAAATGCTTCACAAATAAATAAATGAATGACAGTCTAATTACTGTAAATTTATATGACCTAAGTTACCCTGAACCATAGCCACTGTAGGGACACTAATGGTGACTGATGATGCCCAATTCAGGGGGAGGTGAAAAGCTGATTAAGAACATATGTAACCATCTACTCCTATAAGAATCTATCACCCAAAATGGTAAATAGTTATGATGTACATATATAATTAAAGTGGTAGCAAAAGGGTAAGAAGCCCTTTAATGAAATTAACTGACTTTGGACTGCTACATAGTTTTTATTTATTGTAGATTGAGAATTAAACAGTTATGCCTTTCTCCAAATCCCAACTCAACAAATTTTGCCTAGAAAGAATAAAACCTGTACCTTTGACATCAAGTACTTCTGCATAAAACTCAGTGATTTGCTGAAAAGCGTGACCGTATTCAAAATAAAGGTCATCCATCCTTTCTACTCGAATTCTGTCATCCCGTACACTGAAAGAATTAAATGACAAATTCATTCATAAGTTGTTTTCTTAGCTAATCTGATTACCTGGAAATGAAGAAACAACTTCCACTCATCTTGAATTATCTGTTTTCAGATGCTTCCTCCAAAACAACGATGACCCCTCATGCCAGCCTATAGCTTAAGTAAAATCAAATTGAAACCCCACATATAGATGAAAAATATCTTAATTTATATTGTCATTTTAGGTTGTAAGGGTTCCTTTATGCAGATCATCTTCTCAGTATTTCTGATTAGCAATTGCTATTATTATCCCACCTGAAATACCATACATACTTTCTAAATCCTTTATGAAGAAAATTAACTTTGCTAAAACTATTTTAAGGCAAAAGGTATTTTACACTTTATTAGGTACCATATATAGAAACAATAATTAAAATGTATAGCTAATTTCCACTTATATGTGTTTAAATGTTCTATTATTAGAATAGATTATTATAAAGTGACAATTCTTAGGTATAGACTCCATACCTCCACTATTAGAGATGAAGTACTTGTCTGAGTGGCATTTTTTAAAACCATTTCTACTACTCTTCTCAACTAGAAAGAATAATTGCTACTAAGATAAAGCTAGACTCACATTTCGTCAATCCTTTATTTTCAGTCAGAACCTATTAGAAGGCAAACCAGCTCAGAAGAGCAAATGTCACCCCTATCTTTGGTCTCTGGCCTCTAAAGACAAAATTAATAAAGTCAACTCTAGTAATTGCATTATTTATCCTGATCATTATCTACTGTACTGTCTTGGGGAAGGAGGTGGGGAGGGAGAAGGAAAAAAATTTAAACTCAAAAGCTTATGGAAGTGATTGTTGATAATTCAAAATAAATTAATTTAAAAAATAAAAAGAGTAAAAAAAAATCTACTGTAACTCAGACAGACAACACTACCATTCTACACACTGGCATAAAAATTGGTTACTGTCCCTTTCCACAATTGGACAATACAACCTATAACCCTCAATTATTTCTGTCGGTTAATGAAAAATAAGATGAGATAATGAAACAGATAACAGAGAATTTATTTATGCTTGGCACTAAAATGTCTCGTGCATTTTGGTGGTCGGACCAGAAAAGTACAGCAGAAATATTGTCTCCTAGTCCTACATATGATTCTATTAACATAAGAATAATATTCATCTAACACTTTGAGGTTTACAAAATATGTTATTTTATTTGACCCTCACAACAACCAAGTGAGGTAGGCGCTATTGTTATCTCCATTTTACAGTCAACAAACTGAGGCAAAGAGAGATTAAGTGAATTGCCTTGTTCACCCAGCTAGTAAGTGTGTGAGGCAGGATTCAAATTTGGATCTTCCTAACTCTAAATCTAGCACTATATACCCTGTCTGCTTCTTTATACCCTAGCAACCCTGTCCTCCATCATCAATGGAGCCAGAGGATGGGAATTCCAATCACCTGTACCTCTATGATTACAAAGTCAAACCTCCTAGGCTCCTAATCCCTATGACTGCCCTCAGAAGAAAAGGCTTTTGTTTGCTATTTCTCCCTAGACTCTTGTCCCCATCCAGTTCACTCCTCTTATACCTTCTCCCTGCCTTTCATTCTGTCCTTTAGAATCCAACTCTAACATTAACAAATTCCCCTTCATCCCAGATCTCTTCTTTCCAACACCCACTTTCTCTCTTCTTATGATAATGGAAATCTGGCTTTCTCCTGAAGATATCCCATCTCTGACCACAGTTCTCAAATGCTGACTTCTCTCATTCTCAGTCTACCCCCAACCCTGAGAACACACTGGTCCAGGAGGAGGATTAGGTATTATTCCTAACTCCCCCTGCCCTCAATGACACCATCACTCAGCGATCTCACTTGCTTTGAGGTTCACTCTGTCTGCATCACTCAGCCACACTCCTCGTGACTATACTCTTACAACTTCTAGGTCTTACTCTCTCTTTTCTCAAGGAAGTCAGCACCTGACTAATAGTCTTCCCTTCTCACATCACCGCCATCATAACTGACAGCTTCAAAATACATTTAGATGGCCTTTGAAAACACCTTGGCCTCCCATTTAACAACCTTTTCAATTCCCATCACCTACATCTTCAGTCTACATCAAGAGCCCATAATATGGCCTAGATCTCACCATCAGCCATAACTAGGCTATCTATTTGACTCTACTTACACTTTCCAGCGTCCCTATCTTCCTTAAAGACATAGGTCAGGCATGTCTTCTGGGTGAAGTCTTTCATGACCTCCCCAACTGCTATGGTCCTCTCTCCCAAACTACTTTTTGGATGTTTATCTATCAACTTTTATATTTATCCTGTATATATTTTTATATAAGCTATTCCAAAAGTCTCAGTACAACTTTAAGTTTTTAATAAATATTATTTAAATTCCAAGACTTCTGGGATACCCTGTAGGTACTTTTTGTCTCTCCCATTAGAAAGTAAGCTCACTGCAAGTAGAGATGGTTTCCATCCTTTGTATTTGTATCCTCAGTGCCCAGCACAGTACCTGGTATGTAACAGGAGACTAATAAATATTTTTTATTGATTAATGTTACAATTCTCACCCCTACCCTCAGCAGAGCGTAAACTCCTTGAGGGTATGAGCCAGGAGGACTGGCCCCTTCAGTGAACCTTAAAAGGAGTGATTCCATCATCTACCTCTCTATTCCTTCTCTCTGGAACAGAGAGCAAAACAGAAAACCTTGAATCTCAGGGCAGCTAGATGGTGAAAGGGATAGAACATTTGCTCTGGGGTCAAGAGGACCTGAGTTCAAATCCAGCCTCAGACACTTACTAGCTGCATGACCCTGGGCAAGTCAGTTAACAAAGAAGGAAGGAAGAAGGATCTCTATTATGTTAGGAAGATGGTAACAAAAGGTGACTCTCTAAGTCTTGTCCACTACTTCTGAGTTAGCTTCTAGGATCCAAGTCTGTTTAGCTCTCCCCTCTTAAGAGCTGGAAGGAAGTAATAAGCAGATGTAAATTAACCTACTTAAGCCACTATCTATTGACTGGTCATGGATACTTGGACCATGAAGTCCACTCCAGCAGCTTGCCATCCCACTTAACAATCCAGTTGTCTGACCTGCTTCTGCCAGCTTGTTCCTCCCACACCACTGGTCTTCCAGAAACCCACACTCTCCGTTCCTTGGCAAATTAATCCACATATCTTTGCAGGCCTTAGGACCCAGCCTAGTTATCAGAACCCATATATTTCTTATATGAAAATCTACTGTCCCCTTTTCCAATGTCCAAGAACAAACTCCCTACCTTCCCTGGTCACTACTCCAATATGTGTTGTCTTCTCCTGCTATGTATGGGAAGCTTTTTGAAGAAATAAGCTACCTCCTTTTAAATATCTGTACCTCAAGCACTTAGCACAATGTTAGGCACTTAGTATGCACTTAATAAATACTTTTTCATGTATTTTTACCTATTCATTGCTTCTTGCCCCAGTACTTTAGCACAGTGACTTAAGCATAGTAAGCACTTAATAAATGTTTGTTGAATTAAATATATCCTCCAAATAGCTAGAATACAGATGGAAACTAAAAAGTAAGTGAAAAAGACACCTGGATAGCATAGCTGTCGCAAAGGCCATTTTGTTCCAGGGGAGCAGCAAGGCCAAACCTGGGTTTACAACCAGACAACAATAAGGCACCAGATAAAATCAGAACAGATTTCCATCAGTGATAAGTAATGATGTTGGTACATGATGCCATGCTCTGACAATAAGTAACATCAGAGAGGAGACAAAAGAAGTATATAAAGCAGAAAGGAGAAAAGCACAGCAGTCTAGGGACATTTGTCAAGAGGACAAATAACCAACATATCTCACTTGCTAGCATTTATATGGTGCTTTAGTGTTTGCAAGGCGAAGCCAGATTGCACAATGGTTAGTGCTGGGCCTAGAGTCAGGAAGACTCATCTTCCTGAGTTCAAATCTGGCCTCAGATACTTCCTAGCTGTGACCCTGGACAAACCCTGTTTGCCTCAGTTTCCTCATCTGTAAATTGAGCTGGAGAAGGAAATGGCAAACTACTCCAGTATCTTTGCCAAGAAAACCCCAAAATGGCATCGCAAAGAGTCAGACGCAACTGAAATGTCTAAACATCAAAATCAAACTTAAGGTTTGCAAAGCACTTTACAAATATCTCCTTTGATCCTCATAACAACCCTGGGGGATAGGTGCTAGTATCTTCCCCATTTTACAGATGAGGAAACTGAGGCAGACCGCAGCTAAATGACTTGCCTGCAGACACATAGCTAGATAATGTCTGAAGCTGTATTTGAATTTAAGTCTTACTGACTCCAGGTCCAATACTGTATGCACATTGTACCATGTAGCTGTCTAGCACCTGAATATATTACAGAAGATCAAGATAAAAAATGTTCAAAATGATAACTCTAAGTCATCAATAGAAAGTTAAAATATGTTCAGTAAACACTGCTTAAGAAGGAAGAAGAATACACTACAGATTTTAAGAAGATAATCCATTAGGGATATCTAAAATCCTTTCAGGAATGGGTTAGACTAGATAGCTGCTGAGATCTATTCCAATTCTCTAGCTCTGTGAAAGTTTCAAAAGGCTTGAAAGGAATAAGCTTCACTTATCCAGAAAATACACTTCTGTGGAATGCTTCATTCCCCAACAATGTTGGATTAATGGGGAGTCATTCTACTATATGTGTAAAATGTAGAAATGTGAAAGGGAAAATACTGTTGTGACAAAAGGGTCTCATTGAGTGCTTCACATCTTGATAAAGTAAATTCAGAAAAGCCTTAGTGGAAAGAGCAGGATTTCAGAAGCCATTTCAATAACTCAGCAAAATAACCATTCCAAAACAAAGCAAGCAAAACCCCAACTGGAGTACAAAATACTGGGTGCAAAAATTAAGTATTCTTTGAAATGACTGAAGATTTACTGCTGATACAATCAAGTATTTCAGGTCTTCTAAACCAACAAACCTTCAAACCAAGGTTTTAACAAAGGA